TGCACGTTTCCACAGCTAGCTGTTTGCGTCCATAGACATACACAGCTTGCGGCAAGCCACGGCCCCCCACAGTCACACTTTGACTGACAGCAGAAGGAACCTTTGGCTCCTTTGCCCTCAGTACCCTCCCCCAGGACCTCAAAGCTTGGGGAAAGCCAAATATTTTCCTGGTCCCAGAGGAGGAGACGACTGACCACAGGTAAGTGTGGGGGGGTTACATAAAAGGTACTGGGTGCTTTTTACCTTAATGCAGCCATTAAGGCTTGCCTTCAGTGGTGTAATGCAGAGTGAAGAGATTAGTGGTGTAACACAGAGTGCAGAGATCAGCGGTGTAACGCAGATTGTAGAAGTCAGCGGTGTAACGCTTAGTACAGAGGTCAGTGGTGTAATACATAATACAGAAGTCAGCGGTGTACCGCATAGTGCAGAGGTCTACGATGTAATTCAGCATACAGAGGTCAGTGGTGTAACGCAGAGTACAGCCGCCAGCAGTGTAACACAGAGTGCAGAAGTCAACGGTGTAATGCAGAGTACAGAGGTCAGTAGTGTAACGCATAGTAACTGCCCTCAGTACCCTCCCCCAGGCCCACGAAGCTTGGGGAAAGCCAAATATTTTCCTGGTCCCAGAGGAGGAGACGACTGACCACAGGTAAGTGTGGGGGGTTACATAAAAGGTACTCGGTGCTTTTTACCTTAATGCAGCCATTAAGGCTTGCCTTTAGTGATACTTTAAACCAAAAATATTTTATTTAATATAATATGTATGTGTTCTTATGCTAGTTACACATGCTATAGTCTGATTGTACAATGTCCTTTATTTTTACCAAAAACTATGCAGTACGAGGGCTTGTCTGATTTTACAGCTTATATCTGCCAACAAATAAAGGTTCATTAAAATTTTAGGGCACATTCTTTTACATACAGTACAGTGTCAATTACTGTTTTCTGTGATAAAGCTCTACCAATGCATTTTTTATGGTACAACTAAAAAAAATAAACATTCTGCAGGTTACCTGTGGTGGCCAACAAGAGTATCTAAAGTATGTAAATCATACAGTTTAAATATTATATGCGCATTACTGCATGCAGCTGCACTCGAGATGCACATCTATCTATCTATCTATCTATCTATCTATCTATCTTATAATCCATCTCTTAAGCTGTAATATTTTGTTTAACAGGGATGCAAAGTAACTGGCTTTTACAATAAAAGTTGTAGAAGTGATAAGCAGTATGTTGCGTGCTAAAGTTGGTAAACCAATAATGTCATTCTTCTCTTCATTTATATATGAAGATAAAGACATCACTTTAGAATGCGCCTTTTATAAACAATGTACAGCAAAAACACCAATCACTGAACAACAATGTATTTAGAATTTGCCTATACAAGCAAAATTACATCCAGATGTATTCAAAGCTGAACTCCAGGCTCTCTTTAAAAAGCATAATGTATGGGCATCAGGAAGCAATAGAAAAATGCACAGAAATTAAATTATTTAAACTGTAGATTAATACTGAACTCCCATATAAGCAAATGGCTAAATACCAGAGCCATGCGTATTCTTACTTTACTCTTGGTGTGCTTTGTGTAATTCCTCCAGACAAGAACTGACTGGCAACGTTTGGCCCAGGGGGCAAGTACAACCCAGAGGCCAATAGTGCAGTGACTTGGCTCCCCCTCCCGCTGTCCCTCTTCCCCTGCCTTCTCCCCGCCCTCACCTTTCGCCACCCATGTAATGTTAGTGTGAATGGTCAGGTGATGTGAGGACTCACCGGGAAGTCCACTGACTAGTGACTAGTTAGGGGATGGCACTCTCCTCCCGCTGGGCTCCTCACCTAGTTCCAGCCTTACTCTGCTCCGTTTCCGATACTCAACTGCGTCTTCCAAATCAGTGGTTTTCCTGACAACCTTTCTTCATGTGTATGTGCACTTGGAAGTGATGCGGTCGAGAAATTGTATGGGACATGGACAATTACAGCAAACCAGTAGCAGAGGGATGCATCATCACTGCCGTGCATGCACGCACGACTGCTGCAACCCTGGTAGTTCTTCCACTGACTCCTAGCTGTAGAAGGACTACAAATCTCAGAAATACATTATACAGCAATGCAGAATACCAGCAGCTATAGAGGACTACAAATCCCAGCAATACATTATACAGCAATTCAGAATACCAGCAGCTATAGAGGACTACAAATCCCAGCAATACATTATACAGCACTGCCAAAAGGCAACTGGCTATAGAGGACTACAAATCCCAGCAATGCAAAAATATTGTATATGAATTTGCTACATACTCTGTGCTGCCACTCTGCTCTGGGTTAGCGACCTGATGTCCCAGGCAGAGGGTCTCAGGAGGGGTGCAGAGGGTCTCAGAAGTGGGAGATATGCGGGCAGCAGAAGTGCTGAAAGCAGGCACCGTGTGGTTCCACAGAAGCCGATTCAATAAAAAAAAGTGAATTGTCAAGGTGTGGTGGTCAGTTGTAATGCAGAGTGCAGAGGTAAGTAGTGCAACACAGATTGCAGAAGTCAGTGGTGTAATGCAGAGTGAAGAGATTAGTGGTGTAACACAGAGTGCAGAGATCAGCGGTGTAACGCAGATTGTAGAAGTCAGCGGTGTAACGCTTAGTACAGAGGTCAGTGGTGTAATACATAATACAGAAGTCAGCGGTGTACCGCATAGTGCAGAGGTCTACGATGTAATTCAGCATACAGAGGTCAGTGGTGTAACGCAGAGTACAGCCGCCAGCAGTGTAACACAGAGTGCAGAAGTCAACGGTGTAATGCAGAGTACAGAGGTCAGTAGTGTAACGCATAGTACACAGGTCATCGGTGTAAAGCATAGTACGGAATGCATAGTACAGTGTAGCGCATAGTGCAGAGGTCAGTGGTGTAACACATAGTGCAGAGGTCAGTGGTGTAATGCACAGGTAAGCGATGTAATGCAGAGTGCAGAGGTCAGCAGTGTAACGCATAGTATAGAGGTCAGCGGTGTAATGCAGAGGTAAGTTGTCTAATGCAGAAGTCAGCGGTGTAACGCAGAGTGCGGAGGTCAGCGGTGTAACGCATAGTATGGAAGTCAGCGGTGTAATGCATAGTGCAGAGGCCAGCGGTGTAACGCATAGTTCAGAGGTTAACGGTGTAATGCATAGTGCAGAGGTCAGCGGTGTAACGCAGAGCGCAGAGGTCATCAATGTAATGCAGTGGTCATCAATGTAATGCAGAGTTCAGCTGTGTAATGCGGAGGTCAGAAGTCAGTGGTGTAATGCAGAGGTCAGCGGTCACTAGTAATGCAGAGGTCAGTGGCGTAACGCAGAAAGAACAGGGACTTACAGTGCACACAGTTAGTCTGATGTCCTTATTCAGGTGCTCTGCCATCATGCCCTCTTTCTTTCCTGATGGTGGTAGGGGGAGCATCGATGTTGCCTGCATGTTTGAGGTGAAGCCTCCAGCAGCCTTCTTGTGTCCTCCCTTCAGGACCTGCTTTTCTGAAGTATACAGCTAGCCAATGGTGGTGCTGCACTCTCCCTCCCAACCTATAGCAGTTGCAGTGGGTGGAGGAAGATGCAGGTAGCCGCCGAGGAGCCCAATCAGTGAAGCGGGCAGTTACCAAAGGCACCCGAACCGCTTCTTCTCCTCCTTGGCCGCTGCAGCCTGCAGCTAATGAGCAGCTGAGAGGGGAGAGCTGAAATAAGTGATTTCCGCTTGGCAGCGGGGGCCGTTTTCAAGGGGCATTAGAGAGCACCAGGGGGCAATTGCCACTCTGCTCCCTGGCTCAGTCCGCCCCTGCTTCAAGATCTGTGCAGTAATTTAGTGTGACACATTTTCTATGTGCAGGAACTTCCTGTAATAAAGACTACCGTAGTCACTCCTGCTATCTCTCCTTGTACAGGATGACTGGTCTTGTCTTAGCCCCCTTGCAGTTCTCTGCAGGCAGCCTGTAGTGGATGGACTTGCTGGGTCCCTCCCACAGCTCTGCTCCCTGCACAAGTTTTATGTAGCAGTGTGTGATGTCATTGCTACATTACAGGTTAATATATAGGTTTGCAAAGGCATTTGGTAAACTCGATGTGGATTTATACAGTTTTTGGCTATTGAGAGATATTTAAATAAAAATGTTTGTGCCCATAGTTCAGTTTTAATAGTTTAATTTATCTTTTGACAGTTTTGATAACGTAAAGCAGTACAGAAGTTCTAAAATGCAAAAACTTCCCATCTTCTGGAGTATACTACAAGCAGGCACCCATCTCCTACTTGTGATCTCATTGCAGTGTTCTGGGCTAACTGTTGCAACAACCCCTAATATTTACAAATACAAATTCCCACAAGGTTGTGGTCCATTTGTCTCTGCTTGTCACCTTGATAAAGAGGGCCCACATTTGAAACATCATAGGTGTTTTAACTGATATGGGACTTCAGTAAACTGTCACTTTGGATTTCAAGTTGGCGTGCTGGCTCTTTTCTGCATTTGGATTTACACAGTACAGCCATGCACCAACCCCTGGAGATGGGTTCATGGGAAGCTTGTGCAGTATAGCTTGATGTACTGTAAGCAATATAAACTTGACAGGCATTCTAATACTTCCCTACTCTATCCAAAACTAATTTTAAACATTTCGACTATACATAAAATTTAACAGTTCTCTTTAATCTGACTGCTCCACAGTTTTAAATGGTGAAAGCTGAATGGTTGCTATAGACGAGCATGCTGTCCATGTCATTTCTTGTGGTACAACGATAAAAAACAAAGTCCTTTAGGGTGAAAGTAAGTAGTCTAATGTGTGTTGCTCTGTAAAACCTCCCTTTAGCACAGTTTTCCTTAATAGTATATTACATACAAGGTAATACTTGGGCTGGGTTGCCTTAGGCGCTTGTACTAAACACTGAATACAGAGAGTGAGCCAGAAAGACCAGCCCAAGAATCGTCACCCTCCCTTTCTTGCTAATACAAACAGCCAGATCATTCTCAGCCTACTCCTCCTACTAAAACATCTGAAACGTCAGTGAAACACTCTAGTGTATTCATTCATACTTCTAAAAAAAAAAGAAATATAAAGCAAGACGCGAACACGAATTCCAGCATTGATCAGGTAACCTGATTCAACATACTTTTTTTTACAGCCTAGAGATAACAATTGTGGAATATATCCAGATCATTTAGTTAACAATGCATTTGTATGAGTTAGCTATAAGGATGCATGTTGAAGGAAGCTAAAAATGGTGCTGCTGTGTGTATAATTGCTGGTTTATTGTCTTTGTGTAAAGTACTGTGTGAAAAATACAGCTTGCATTGGGAGTACAGAGAATCTTCCCTGACTTGGCTGGGAAATATGTGTAGCTGTCCTACATTTCAGGGGGCGGGTGAGCTTGTTCCATGCTACCAGTGGAGAGGAATAAATGTGTCATTGTGACGTTGAATAGTCTTACACTGCCATGTTTACACTGCATATGGATGAGTGAAATCTGCAATATACAGACAGCTTACTAGAAAACCCAAGAGAAAATCTCAGCACATACATACACTTAATCACAGATATGTTAAATCTTTTCTTCAAGCAAACTCTGAAAAAGGAAATGTTAGTTTTAACACACATTGTACAGTTTGCTCTCCTTTTTTTATAATCTACAAGAAAATATGTGACCATATGGTGTCTTCAAAACTGCTGCTTAGAGGTTGAGCGTGAGACATAACCACTATCAGCTGTAATGAATGTAATGCATGAGGAAGTATGGCACATCCTTGCTTGGGTAATCATACCCTTATGTAAACTAATCAAATACAGATTTCATGTAACCTGAATATAAAGCAGAGATGAATCACATTGTTTAGCCAAATGAACACTTTTTTTGTAAGGATTTTTCTTTCGATATAAAATGTATTAGTAGATCTGTATCCATTACCTTGTACATTTACACTAAGAGGTCCAATACAAATTCCTTTAGAGCAGAAGGGAGTTCACTTTTTGCCATCTATATTTATGGATTTACTTAAGAGCTGTATTTTTATGCCTCCTATACATGAAGCCAGATGCGTGCAGTGAACAGATTTCTGGTGGGTGAATCAATTTGTTGAGTTTGTCAACCAAGTTCTTTGAACCAATTACCATTTCATCAGTGGTCAGTACGGTCAGTAAGTAAGCAGGATCCAGGGTAGGATCACTCTTTTATTGATGGGCAGGGCTCAGGGAGCTATAAGATTGGACTCCCAGTCCCATGGTCTAATGGACCTTACAGGGAAATACTATGCTTTCTTAATTGGGTCAGGTTGTAATAAGAAAGTATTCTACTATTTGACTATGTCGGTTAAGTTACAAGGGACAGAAAATCTTGCCCCATAATCAGCCAGAGAAGTGAGTAAGGGGCATGAATCCCCTACCCCTTCCTAAAAATGAGCGAACAGATTTCTGGTGGGTGAATACATTTGTTCAGTTTGTCAGCTAGTAAAAAAGTTATTTGAACCAATAACCATTTCATCAGTGAGTTCATGTTCTGTCCTTTTTTGCAAACATTTAGTGTAATCCACACTATATCTTTGCAGAAAATATCAGAGGGCAAAACAAAGTGCAGCAAAATTCACACATCTAGTGTTATCCACATGTGAAAATCCTTTTCACACTATCGAGAAGCCACCAATCAGAAGTCTCTCTGAATCCTTCATCATATGAACCCAGTGAACACACAGGTGCAGAGGGGTGCTCACCTGGTAATATAGACCTGAAGTAGGTCTCACTGCGCAGTTCCCTTCTGGATGTGGTGTGAACAAGCCCTCAGTGATACTTTAATCCTCTTCAATACTATCTTTGAGGTCTCCTCCTGTCACCCTTAACTGGTTCTAATGCCCTCTTCACCACCATACTACCTGTCATTAGGGATGGGGTTCCAGGGGGTTCAGGCTGATGCAGGGTTTGGTCCAACTCTGGCTGTTCGCCATTCTGTAAACCAGCCAAGTAAAATGGCTGTTCACCCATCGAGGTGAGCATCCAGCTGCAGTGGGAAGTCATACACTTGGTATTACTATGTTACTACATGTGACAGTTTCCCATAAGGCAGCGGAATGGGACCAGGGATGCATCACTGGTTGCAAGGATGCTAGCGACTGCTGGCATCTTAGCAACCATTGATGCATCCCTGGCCCCATTCAGTTGACAGCTGGGCAATCCCAGTAAACACAGGGGCAGGATGCAGACTGAAATCATTGACCAAATCAGCCATGGCCATATTGGCCAATTATATAAGCCAGCATGTGTGAATCTAAAGTATTACTGGAAACAAATGAAACATCAAGGTGGCATCAAGTGCACAGTGACTACACGCAACCTTTCCCATCCCTTGATTTGCCCTAGGTACTACCAGCATAAAGGGTGACTTCCAGTGATCTACTCCCTTCCATCACATCCCTTTTCTAAATCTATTACCTCATCATATTTCAAAGACAAACAAGCTATGCAGTCATATATGTAGGTCACTTGGCATGGATGAATCAGCTTTTTTGAACAGCAGGACTTACTTGTCCTTGTTGCTGGCATGCTTGATGGTGCTCAAATTTTTAATTGTGTAGGAAGGTGATACATGATGTTTTTTCCTGGCGCTAGTTCCACTTTTTTGGGTGATTTTTTATTTAAATCATGATTTGTTCTCCAAAAATAACAGTGATAATATATAAATACATAAATATATAAATACATTAGTGTTCTAAAAAAAAAAGCAAAATGAGAGATGTCTGATCATCAGGAACCATATGAAATTCGTATCGTGTATAGCCTACTTCAGGGTTTACATACACTGTAACAGTTTTTTTGCCATTGATAAACCTTATTGTCCTTAAAGAATATCTACACCTTTGTGAAGAAATGTATTATGTTTCATTGCTACACAAGATTTTGCTTTGCAGTTAATTGTTAATAAGATGTAAATTTACTAGGGTAGAGTGAACAAATTACACTTTTTCAACTTACATCATCTATTCAATGAACAAGGTGATGCAATACCAAATGGCACTGCATGCAAAGTAATTTAAACTTAATTAAATCAATCAAGATTAGGGATAATTAGAGTCCACTGATTCAATACAGCTAGGCCTAATTACAGCTAGCCTTTTTTATTTTGAACCATCAGAGTCAGGTTACAAGCTTATATCTGTCTTTACTACTATCATATCGTCGTTGGGGTTTTCAAAGTTGAAGGTGTACAACAAACGGAGCAAAATGCAAGATGCATCAATATAAAATTCACCTTGTGGTCCTCGTGGGATGAATGCTGGAGATGTCGGTTGACATTGCCGTGATGGCAAATCTCACTGATCAATATTAGAATGCACATCACATCATATTTTTGGCTGTATAGCATATAACAAACAGCACATGTTACAGGGTATCTCACCATGGTGAACTACCAAATGCATTTGTTGTGGACTAAGAGACATCAGCAAAATGGAATAGTTTTGAGTATAGAAAAGTAATCTGGTCACATGAATCCCAGGTTCTGCCATCACTACAAAGGTAGACTTATGGAACAGCTTGATAGCCTTAAGATGAACTGGTACCAAGCATTTGCAGAAAGGATCATCTATATACAAGGTATTAAAAATCATAACACATTGATAATAATATGTAGAATAAAATTAAGTGATTTACTTAAAAAAAAAAAATTAACAGGGTTATTCACAAAAGGGTGAAGAGTTTGGAGAAGGCAGGAGCATGGAACAATCTAGGACAACATAGCTGATGTGGAACAGTTCTCCAAGTCATCTCACTTTCCAGTTCAACTATGTTGTCCTAGATTGTTCTATGCTCCGGCCTTCTCCAAACTCTTCACCCTTTTGTGAATAACCCTGTAAAAAGACAATACATTCCTTTAACTGCTAATAGAGGGTAAAACAGTACGAGTCTATGGGGTCTATTCACGAAGCTGTCAGAATAGGAAAAAAAAAAAAAATTCCCATTAAAAAGCATTGGGACATTACTATTGGCTATTTCAATTTGCAATAGCCAATAGTAAACTAGCATTAGCCGATGCATATGCGTTCGGCTCGGCTGAGCCGCTCGGCCATGATCGGGTGCTGTACGGGCTATTGTGAATAGCCCGTACAGCACCCCTTCGGTTCTACTGAACCGAAGGGGTCCTGGGGCCGACGCTAGCCGAAGGATCGGCCGAAGCTACGGCCAGATCTTTCGGCAGCTTCGTGAATAGACCCCTATATTTTATGATTTGTGTCCATCTCATATTTCTTTCTCCAAACATTCCCTATAATGTAAATGTATTTCTAGAAGCAAACTACCATACTCTGAAGCAGAAGCAAAAATCTGCTGGATGTTTGTTACAATGCTACACAACCATACTGTATATATACATTGTATATAACATATACAATGTTAGAACTACTGCTATAACAGTCCACAAAGTTGCTATGGGGGCAGGCTAGCGGGGAACTGGTCAGGGTCCCTGAGATGAGGAATGATGGGCTGAAGAAAGCTCCAATTAGTGTGTCCTAGGATCCAGGAAACTGCAGAGCAGCAAGTGCCTGATGCTAGAATACTGAGAGGTGAATTTATCAAAACTGGAACAGACACAATCTGGAGCAGCTGTGCACAGCAACCAATCAGCTTTCTCTTTCATTTTTAAATCTTAACTGAACAAACTACAGAGGGAAGCTGATGGGCTCCAGATTTTGACTGCTCCAGTTTAATAAATTCCCCTCTGAGTGTTTAGGCATTAGTGGGAGGCATTGCAGACCAATATAATGTAGAACAGCTACAGACTTATCATCAGTGCAGGTGCCCACTGGGGAGAGAAGTCCTGTTCTTCTCCCAGTCAAGTGAGCTGTCACAGGAACATCGAGAGGATAAAAAGGAAATTTCACTTCCACCTCCCATGGGGCAAGCGTACTGACATCAGGTCTGAATAGTAAGTGGGTTGGGGACAGAGCCTCTGTTGCACACTGTCCTATGCAAGGGACATTTTTTCCTCCCCTTGATCACTGACACTGTGGCATTTTTTCCTCTTACTGACCATTCGTTTGCAAAGTTAACAGCTTATTTGCCATAAGTAAATCAACCCTTATAAGTTGGATGACTCTGTGAAGACAATGTGC